TCCTTCCTCCTTCCTTTACTGATCACAGCCACATGTTCACACTGGCAGAATTGTGCCTTGGCCTGGTTGTGCTTGCTTGCCTTGTCCTGCTGCTGCTGGTGCAGTTGCAGAGCCTGTGCAGAATGCCAGATGCACTTGCTGATAACTTACCCTTTTCTCCATGCGTTCATCTGCCAGGCTGGGAGTGAAATATAGAAAGCTTTTGCCTTGAATGAACATTGCAGTTGAGACTGCTTGCATCAGGCCTGCCCAAGCTTTGGCAGTAAAGGCCAGCCCACTTCCAAATAATTGTATATAGTTTTCTAAGCAAAAATAAATGCTCTAGGTGTCGATTCTTGCTTTCTTCCTTTCTTTTCTAACAGCTTTATTAAAAATAAATTGTTTTATTAAAGAAAGCAAAACAGAAGAAAAACACAGAGATTGTTGCTTCAGTTTGGGTTGCTTTCCTCATCTTTCCCAGCAGAGGAAAGAAGCTGGGTTCCTCTCACCAGCCCAGCACTTGCAGAGGATAGCTCTGGAGCAGCCTGGCAGGAGAAGCTAGTGCCTTGCTGTCGGCAGATGGTGCCCTCATCGGGAATAAGAAACGAGAAATACTTTCCAGAGAGCATTTGGCACTGTGGCAGCCTTGTCTGGAATCAGTTAGGAAGAGGACAAGGTCCTCAGTTGGTGTCTCCTTGCAATGTCAACTTTAGCCCATTGGAAACATCCCAGCTTATATTCAGACATGGTTCTGTCCCCAGAAAACTTTTTTTATGATATCACTGTTGGCTTTCATCTACAAATTACTGTACAACTTAAATGTCAGTATTCAAAATTTGAAGTGCACGGGGTTTGTTCAGCCAGAAGTACAAATGAAATTTAGTTCGGGCTCCTGGCAAGACTTGCTTTCGCATTTATCAAACTGACATTCAAACCAAAGAAGTAAAAATACAGCTAAAATATCAGGTGCCATCGAATGCCTGGAGAAACCATGGCAGGAGTGTTGCTTTTCTTTCCCTCCTATAATCAAATTTATCTACACTCTGAACAAACATCTGCATGAAGTATTTAGTGCTTCTTTCTTTTTTTTCCCTTGGATCTGGTTTTTCATCTTAAAGAAGCCAATAGCTCAGCCGGCTTGGACAGGGTGTTTGTGGCTGTGTGAAAACCCTTATAATGCTCACGGTATCTGGGATGTCCAAATGCAGGCTGCAAAGCCTTGGTAGGTACCGCATGTGTGACCAAACAGAAAAGGTTCCAGTTTCCAACTTCTGACTGATCATCTTGCCAGTAAGGCCATTTCTCAGCTTCAGTCTTTCTTGACTTTTAATGTGGGGCAGTAACTCAATTCCTGCACATAGTAGGACTTGCTTAGGGCAGATTTGCCGAAGTGCCCATTCTTTTATAAATTCTCATCTTGTTGCCCAACAGAATGAAAAAAATTGTCCATGCTTTTACTGTCTGCCATATTAAAACTTTTTTTTTAAGCAACTATTGATATCTTAGCTGAAAAATACTGTTTTTTCAGAGCTTTTTTCCCTCTGAGTGGGATCATCTACTTTTCTTTTTCACTGTTTCTAGCCTCTTCTACCTGATGTTTTTAAATGCTCAAGATTGACTTCATCTTCAGGGTCACGGTGTTGAGACCTTCTCTGTAGACCCTTCCTATTCCCGCTTGTATTGTTGCTGTTCTGCCTAGCGCTTGTAAAGCTCAGTATGCCTCAGGTGGGCAAGTGTTTTCAGATGTAGCTTTGCAGGAGAGGTCCGTCCTTCATCCCAGCTGCTAAAGGGATTCCTTGATCCTAAGTCATGCTTTTCCCCCGTGTCAATTTGAGATGTCAAAGGAGGAATATTTCTGATATCCTGTGTCATACTCTCATGTACCACTTGGCAAGGAAAGGTCTTTGAGAATGAGAAGTCAGAGGATACAGACGGTTACCTGCATGTCCTCTTCCTATCAATTACCTGAAGATGGAGCCCTATTTACAGACAAACTCCACGAGTGACCTCTCGTGGGAGAAAGGAAGGGGAAGAAATGATACAACAGAAGATGATCTTCTATTCAGATGGGGATAAAACTAACAAAACTCCCCAAGTAACTGGAAGGTGAAAGGAGGGCAGTGTTTCAAGTTATAGGCTTTTTCCTTATCCAAAATGAAAGTTCTTTTGGTTTGGTTTCAGGAGCAAGGAAGGGAATTTTGGTTTTTTAGATGTATTTGACACTTTGAGAAGGAAGCTTCTGGTGATCTTCAAGGTCCTTACAAAACAAATGGGAAAGGGGAGGCAAATGTAGCCCATGTAGCTTAAGCAGGAGTTGCTAGCCCTGCTTTAAAAGAAGCATTTTGTGGAAAAATAACTGATAATCCTGATAAAGGAAAGGGCATTGGAATAAATACCATAAATAATACCATATTTTATCCTCACATTGGTGCCCATGTTCTCAGAAGTGGGAGCCGTGGTTTATGGCTGTAAGGATGGCAAAACATACCATAAGGCCTGTAAGGATTGCCTCCTCCTTTGTCTTTTGCTGCTGAAGATACCATCTTTCAGGTTGAAATATCCCATACTTAGATGCTGCCAAAAGTGAAATTTTAATTTTGATGAAAAGATTAGTGTTTTAAGCATGAGAAGAGTAAAAATAAACATTTCCTCTCTTATTAAAGCTGATGTAACAAAATGAGGCGTATGCGGTTTTGAGTGGCTGTACAGCTAAATCAACTAAATTACAAAAACTGAAGATTATCTGTGATTACAGAGCAGTGCTTATCTTTATCCTTGGTGGACTTGGTTTGGATTTCTTTACTTTTGTTTGGAGTTCAGGGTGAACTGGAGTAGCAACGTGTTGCAGGTGGGACTTCACCTCAATCTAGTCACCTTGCCAAGCTGGAACCTGAAATAACAAGTATTGCCTTTGCAGTATGAGGCAAATGAGGAAAATGCAGGTTTGTTACAATTCTACTGACTAGGGTTTTGTCAGCTTTAACTAAATAATTACATGGAGAGTTCCTCTGGTTCAGCGTGTCATTTTGAACAGGAAAGGAGAGGCGTAGGAGAGGATAAAACTCCAGACCCAGTAGGTCTATCAACATGCTGGATGGCTGATGTACTTCAGGCTGTGGAGAAACAGTTTGCGGGAGAGTTACAGCTTTTATATCTTCTGATGGGTATTCTTGGTTTCATGAATAAACTTTCATACACTCTTAGTGTTGTGGCTCCAAATTAGGTAGAGACAAGTCATTTCACAGATGAGTGACTTCCAGCAGGAACATGTGGCATCCCTTTAAGCATCAGCCTTAGTTTTGAGCTCTGGATCCGGGCTTGAGATGCTGCCAGCTGTGCTGATGCTTTCATTGGAAGAGAAGAAACACAATCTCCAAAAATACAGTAGATAGTGGAGATTATTGCTGTAAAATTGGATAGTCTGGTGTTGCCTGATGTATGAGGCTGTGAATAAACCATCCAGCTTTCCATGCCTATGCAGTAGAAGCAACAAGACATCGGGATGCTAGGGTACATATCCAGTACGGAAACTGTCTGTAAGTACTTTTCTGGCCACTGTCACTAGTGAAAACAGAGCCTGTAGCATTTCTGCTGCCCTGATTCTGTGCTGCTGCCTGGAAACCTGAAGGAGAGGAGGAGGTCCAAGCAACATCAGCCTGGATCTGGGATTGCCCTGGCTCCAACAGTTCTGCAGAACGTGATCCAGTTACTCATGGGGAGACCTAGGTTACTGCTAACAGGAGTGCAAATGTGTTGGCGAGAAAGGGGATTGCTAGGCAACTATGTCTGCGTGCCTTCTGCTTAGCTGTGGAGTATTTAATCTGCTCTCCTTGCTAGTTCTTGCCTTTCTCTGTTATTACCATTTGTATTCGTTGCCTGTTGCAAAGTGATGCCATGTAACAAATAGGAAAATGAGATCTTCCCCTGCAGACTTTATGCTCTGCTACCCAGGAGAGGTAGGGCATGAATTAAAATGTACTCTCTGTAGTCAGTGATCAGCATGCATGGCAAAGATCTCATTGGCATGCTGGGGTCTTGTTGTATATTTGTATTTTCACTGTGTTGCTGCTGGTGATGCTCTCCTGTTGTCAGCTAAGAAGGTTAGGACCTGATTTTGTAAGTATACATATTTCAGGAAGCAGCCATGTTTACCAAAGAGTAAAGCAAGCCTCTGGAGAGGACATCTTGAAGTATTGCTTTTGTGCTTTCAGAATTTCTCACTTGTAAATCATGCTTCTGAACTAGGATGTAGTCGATCTCGTATAGCAGTTGTCTGATCATTTTTCCAGCTCACATGTGAAATGCTGCTTCCTTGCTTTGCATGGAGAGCAGCGCCGACATTCCTGTGCTGCATGGCTGGCTGGCTGGCAGAGCAGCCCCCAGGGGAAGATCCTTCTGTCAGTGCAAGCACAGACCAGGATGACAGGATATCAGGCACCATGGCCTGCTGCTGCTATGTAGATGGGGTCATCAGCCCTGCCAGTGTTTCTGAATCCAAGTAGAACTGAACATATATCAGTTTGCATATGGTTTTGTTAGATGTCTGGCATAATGTTCCAGACTTGCAGCTGCACGGAATTTGGTAGCTATATTTTCCTTACATATTGTATTCATATAAACTATGTCAATTGTGTTTTGAGGCTGATGAAAGTTAAAGTTCGGGGTACTTTGATTTGAATATAGGTAATTTTCTTATGCCTGCAGGTCTAGGTTACAAATGGATTGATCTCAGTTTCATCAAGTGATGCTTATGAGGGAACATGAAAACCAGAGCATCAAAATCCTTCAAACAATTAAAACTAAAGAAGAGAACAGAATTGGTTTTCTGTCTCCAAATGCTTTGAATGACACTAATATAATGACACATCGTGTTTTTACATTAGATATGACATGAACCTTATCCATGTAACATAGCAGCAGCCAGAAACTTATCCACCTGAGTATTTAACACCTTACAGTAAAGTGTCTTGCAGACCCTTTATATACATGATATGTTTTGCTATGGTTACTATGTTTTCCAGTGTATTTGAAAAGGATCCCAATGGAGTTGATTCCACTGCGAGTTCCAGCCACCGGACCAGAAATCTTCTGGAGTTCTCAGCTAGCCAGGAGTCCAGCACAGCTCCAAAAATACCTGAGGACATCATTACCGAAAAGAGTAATAGGTGAGATGAAAACCTTTAATATATTTTAAGTGGCAGAGGGCAATGGTGCTTTTAAACCTCACTGCCCTTCCATTTGCTAATCTTCTTGGCCAGAGTTACTGCTGCTCTTATAAAGCAACTGAGTTTACAAACAGTGTTTTGAAAGCTGATATATTTTTTTTTATTGTTTAACAAAGTGTACCAGGTTGCTTTTCAAATGTTTTATCCCCAAGATTACCTAGTTCATAGAGCTTCAGAAGTGTTTATGTGGCTATGCTGTACGGTGTTAGGAACAATGTGGTTGAAGAGAGCATATAAACAAGTGTATGTCATGGAGATTTTCATGACCTTCTTCAGTTGTTCATCTGTCTTCTTTTTTCCCTGATCTTTATTTTAGCTTGCATAGTTACAGTATTTGTCATATTATCTATCTCTTCTTACTTTTCAAGCTGGAGTATTTATTTTTCTTAGTTGCTCAAGAGAAGACTGGGGAAGTTCACAATTAAGAACATACTCTGAACTTAGCACTGTACTTTTTTAGAACTCTCTCAGTCCATCCTTATGCTTACCCATTACTTAATTATATAGTTGTTTCAAGCTTCCTAGATTTCTAGCATTCAGTGCATAAGTGAATGTATAATTGTCTCCAGATTGAAGTCTGGCTTATCCAGCTCATGTTTTTCCCCTTACAAGATTTATCCTATCAGATCGTCCTTTTCCAGTAGAGTGTTTTGGCTGGTTGAACAAAGCCAGGCACAGATGTGCAGAAAACTCTAATGTATTTTGCCATGCAGAAAGAAGGCAATAAATCAAGAGCATTTTAAGGCTGTAGCCATGGTAAGGGCTTTGGGTCCTATGAGGCACGTTTCAGACCATGACTTATGCAACGTAGTAGTAGAGTGGTTGCCTTAGGAGGATATGCTAGTGCCTGTACCTCCTCCTTTTCTTTCAGTCCTTCACCCTGGTTTTTTGGCAAGCTGTGAGCTCTTTGCTGCATATTCTCCTTTATCAGTTCTAGACGCAGTATACACAAGAAGCAGACGTGAAGATGGAGATAAAGCTGGGAAAGAGAGGGGAATGTGAATAAGGCTTTCATAAGCTCTTATACCTGATTTTTCAGAAAGAAGTTGAGGTTTAGGAGCTACAAGTCTCTGTCAAAACCAACAGGACTAAGGCTGTTTATTGATACCCTATCAGTGAGGAATAGGTATTTGGTGATAAGTAGTTAACCCTCAGGAGGTACAGATAACCAGGAGAAAGGAATATTAGTCTTTGCTTTGTTGCTGAGAGTGCTATAGATTTTTGTATTGAAATATATGCTCTTTTTCTCTTTTTGTCAAAGTCAAGCTGGCTTCTGGAGACTTGGAGAGGTAAATCCTCTCCACTCAGTTGTAACATAGTTTGTGGCTGCTCCATTGTCATATAGTTCACAGTCTTTACATCTGCGTGGTTTTAGTGGCTAATAAATTTAGTATTCCTGTATCAAATCTTGCACAGCTCTGGATTGAAAGAGAAAGCTGCCTCTGCAGAGATTGCATAGTTTACATATTATGAAGAATATTTTACAGGCTTCATTTTCTTTAAATAGAAAAGAAAGCCTGTTTGGGAAGAGATCCAGCGTCTGCTAATGCTTATCTGTCTTCCCTGTGTTGAGTTCTATCAGATCCCTTTGGGGAATTGACTGAGACCACTGGATGTTTGATAGAAATCGTTATTCACCTGTTTCGGAAGTCCCATAGGAGCATCTGTAACCCTTGTGGGTTTGCTGATGGTAGTGCTTATTCTCTGGATTTGGTCAAAGGTTCGTGAAAAACTTTTTAAAGGGATTTCTTGATGTCTTCTTCTTTTCCCCAGATATGATCGTTCTGTATCTGATAACAAAGCACTGATGATAGTCTCGGAAGAACCACTGTTATATATTTCACCACCACCACCCCCCTGTCAGCCCCTGATCAACCGGACAGAGTCACTGAGGTGAGCAAACAACCTTTTCTGAGCATTTAAGCTTTTATTAGGAGTTTACATACAAATTGTCTGTTGGGTGAGTGCTACTGGACAGACAGCTGTGAAGGATGTTATTGTCCATTCATAGTGTTCATCTATTGTTACCAGTGCCTCTGTGTCTGCACTGTCCAATGTCTCCTACCATGGAGGCAGGAGACTGACTTGGATCTTTGACATCTTTTTATGTTTTTAGTGATGCTTTTCATTCAGTTTTCACACTGTTCATTTAGCAATAACTAAATAAAAATTTCCTGATTGCCTGGAGTTTTTTCATGACTTGAAAGAGAAATCATTTCATGTGTAGAAATGCTCATAATATGGAAATCAAGTCCAGCTAAAAGCCTGTTCTGTCTGAAATATGTAAAAGATGGTCTCCTACTCTTCAGCTTCTGATACAAGCAGACTTAACCTGACGTTGCAGATGTGCTTTATTCACTGCTAGAAAACACCTAGCTCCACTTTTTCCAAAGTTATAAGTGTGTCACTAACTTTATCTCCATTGTGCTTTTTCCATTGTTTCTCTCAAATTTATTTGCCATATTTTAGCCTTCTTAACCAATATTTTGTCTTGAACTCATCAACTTTTGGTTTTAGATTCCAGTAGTCCTTTCAGTAATTTCAGAATTACTGATCACTGAGCAAAAGAAAGTACTGTATCTGCTTTATGCTGAAACATCCATGATCACAATTCTTTATAGGTATTTCGTTACGCATTCGATCATAAATTTAATCTTGTAATTCTATTTTCTTACTCTGGTATTAAAAATAAGTTTTCATAAGGTAAAAGAGTAGTAATCTGTAGTGTCTTTATAGCGGCTAGTTAAACTGTTTTCTAAAATTAAAAAATTCTGCCACTGCTCTTTGAAACATCTGTTAATGCTGTGGGTTTTCTAGGTTGAATCATGAACTTCGAGGATGGGTTCATAGACATGAAGTGGAACGAACAAGATCTAGAAGGCTGTCAAATAACCAACAGCAGAAAGCACGGGTTATGCAGGTAGGCAGGTTTATACTGGTGAGTCAATAGCATGACAAGATAATTTCAGACCACGTAACAAAATATTCTCTCTTACTTGTCCGCACTTGTCATTATAGACAAAAGTAGCAATAGTGCCTGTAATTAGGGTACCCAACACTTCCCATTTTAAATTGCTGGGTTTGGTGATTATTATGTTGTCAATCAAGCTAAAAGCTTTCAGGTTTTTTAGCAGTCATCAAAAAAATGTTCAGTGTTTTCTAGAATGACTTTTATGACTTCTCTGTAAGTCTGTGTAAGGATAAGGATAAACAGGTGCTTAATGGAGAGAAATATAACCTACAGCACATTCGTCTGGTGCATGGTTAAGGGGCACTGCTGATTGGTTTTGTTGGAATATTTCCATTTAATTTTTTCAGATTTTTGCTAGAAGTATACGTTTTTGGTAAGACTACAGAATTATGAGATGAACACGTGTCCCGTGTTCTAAAATCCCTTTCATCTACATGGCATACCAATAGTGAGAACAAAATTAAGACCATGAATTTTCAAAGTATTTCACTTGATTAAGAGCTAATAACAGCCTTAAAAGGAATTAAACTTAACAATGGGGTAATACCACATTTTTCTAGAGAAAAAATACTGAATATTAAACTAATGATTCTTCTCACTGTTGTCCAAAGGAGAATGGTAAAACATTTAAGTAGGGCAAGTTCAGGGGCTTCTAGTGTTTCAAACAGTAGAAGTGTGTGGTGGGTAGTACATTTTGGCAGAGCTACAAAGCGGATGTGACCTCAGAAGAATTCTGCAAATCTGTCATCAGTGATAGCAAATTCTGCATGTGGATGGCACAATACGTGCAAGTGTTGTGTTTGGTGCCAGCTTCGCTTCTTTGTCTCTGTGTGGCTTTAAATTTGTGTGGCTTTAAAACACTTGCTGCTTCTTTGGTTCCAGCTTGATTGCTGTTGATATTTCAGTTAATTCACATTTCACCAGTGAAAAATTGTACCTTTATTGTTTGGGGCACTGATTAACCTCTGCACCCCATTATGTATTCACTCTGCTACCAACATGTTTCATGTTTTATGTAGTACCAAACCAAGAAAATGCTTATTGTTTTGAGTTCGTGTCATCTTTTTGTTTTCTCCCTTTTTCAGAGCTCCCTAAGTGAGAAGGCTGATTCCCAGCTAATGGCCATGCCTTACACAGACACCAGCCTCAGGTAAGGCAGAACAACTGCTTTGTTACTGCTTTCTACTCAATAACCTAGTCTTTCATCAACAGCTGGTAAAAACGCCAGTTTTCACCTTGTCACGATTCTTAAGCCAGGTGCTAGCTACGTTTATTGGCCTAATTTCTGTCCCTTAGCAAATAACTGCTTCTAATGATTCAAACTACGTAAAGAAACCCCTGTACAACAGCACCACTCTTCTGGGGTCCTTCTACCAATGAGTCTTAAGAACATCTTTACTTCACTCTGCAGGCTCCCTTCCTAAATAGATTTGAATCTTAAGGGGAAAAAAAAGGGGGAATTGTCTTGGGATTATCTGGAGGAACACCATTGGTTTATAAGAAAGTTTCAGAGGGCCGTGAATCCAGTAAGAGGAAGGTTTCTCTCACTGTCTTCAAGAGTAGAGCCATTGTGGCTAGGACCGGATTATTTTGACAAAGTTAAAGTGTCATTACATCTTACTTGTATGGTCTGTCTTCATCTCCTTATTTTCCCTGCTGATTATTAGAACACAATAACACAGAGATTCCTGATTGCCCCTGCCCTCGCTCCTGCATACCTATCCTGTCCCTCTTCCTGGGATACAGGAAGAACTGGAGAGAAAAGGTTAAGGAAATGAAAATTCTCTCTCCTGAATTCTCTGTGGCAGTGTTTAAAAGGATCTCTGCTTTGAAGTTCCAATGAGGAGTCTTAAGAGCAGAATGGAGTATGAAGGGGACATTTGTTGCGAAGAGCACCTGAAATGTTGCCATTGAAAGTAAGACAGCTGTGGCCCTTGTGTTTGCATTGCAGCTTTGAAAGCAGGATCAGCCTGGGAGAAAATAGCAAGCTGCAGGCAAATGTTATGGAAACCAGACTGCCAAATTTTGATGTCTTGACTAGTAAGAAAAAAATAAAAAGCTTTTTTTAGTTCTACAGGCAGATGAAGGATGTCTGTTTTAACTGAAGACTAGACAAACAAGGCTTATGGCATAAGGCAGTTTAATATACATGCTTGCATTACTCTTAAAAAAATTATCTGGATTATTAGAAACAGTCTGCAACATCATGCAGCTTGGTATGGAATAATCTGCTTTGCTCAGAAGAAAGTGAGATTTTTTTTTCGGATGAATGATGTTTAAATCAACAGGACCAGTGAGTCATGGCAGCTGCATGCTGTGACTGTCCTGGAACTGCTAAGAACATAGAACAGACTTCCAGTTCTTCCCAGAGCCATCAGCTATTAGATGCTCCATGAAATCATAGAATCATAGGGTAGTTTAGGTTGTAAAGGACCTCTGGAGATCTCCAGTCCAACCTCCTACTCAAAGTAGGTTTAACTTCAGGTTTACTGTGTGTCTCTGTCAGACTGACTGTCTCCATCTCCACTGTAACCCCCATTAAGAAGCCAAGGATTGCAATTAGAACCCCCTCAGCCTCTTCTCCAGGCTGAACAAGCCCAGTTCCTTCTGTCTCCTCTCTCTCCGTGTACATCTTGCACTCCAGGCCCTGATCATAATGCCAGCCCAGTGTGCAGTTGCCCTGCAGACACCCTGCTGGCTCACATTCAGCTTTCCTGCCAGCAACCCATGTCCTCCTCTGCAGCGCTTGTGCCTCATCAATTGAAAGACAGAAAAGGTGCTGCTTGTTCAGTTCTGTCATTGACGCTACCCCTAAGGTGTTGCCTTTGGAGAACTGTTAATGCACTAACAGTCTCTGCAAATGTGTAGAACCAAAAACTAAACCACTTGTAGGTTTCCTGATACGTAACATAAATGTTTGTAGATGGCCCTGAAGCTTTTATTAATTATACAAGTGCCTTTTTGTGGAGTGTACAGTCAGGGTTTTTAATTTTTAATACCAGTGCTATAATTTGAGTGACCTTTACCTTCTACAACACTGTTGTTGGTGACCTGAATCCATGAACAGGAGGACATTACTAGGATCTAGATTTATCTTTGTAGCACTGATGATACCAATATTGTCATGTTGGTCCTGGATTCCAAAAGAAAATTGATGAATTGAAAAGTTCTGCAGTGAAGTCAAAACAGAGGAGGAAGGTAAAAATTAAGATAATTTCAAAGAAAACCGTTAAACCCCCTCAGCTCTCTATAGTCTATTTAGCTTTCTTCAGAGGTAATTTTGATGAGAGTTTCTGCAACTTTTTTAGGGCTCCAGGTATCAAATTATTTTCCATGTCTAAATTTTGCAGTATTAAAATTGTGGGGTTTGGTGCATAAAGCACTGTGTCCACAACCTCATACCTTCTTATAACAAGCCTGTGTGCAACATCCTAGTGCTCTGTGATGCATAACAGAGTGCCTTTTGAACTTTTTAAAACAAAAAAAGACTCATTTATCTCCCAATAAATGGTCAGACTCGGCACCACTGTTTTGGATACACAATTTAATATGATGCTTGCTTTTAATAAGGTAAAACAACTGGTAGCTTTGCACCTGTTTTCATGTTTTAAGTTCCTCCCTTCCTTTCATGGAGCAGTCCACAGTGGGTACCCTTAAATGCCCACAGGTAAGTATGGTGTCATACCAGTAATCCACTGGTATGACTTGGAATTTGGGACTACTGTTAGGCTTGTTCCATGGACCCAAGAGAACTTTGTAAAGGGTCAGTGGTTTCCAAGTGCTTTGGAAAAACTTTCTCCCATGGCTGGATTTAGAGTTACAAAAAGCTGGTTTTTAGGTCTAGCTGTATCTTCTGGAGTGTGGGCGAGCAAGCGGATCTGTGGGACCTGTTTCAGTTTTCAGGATGTGTTTTACTGAGCAATGCGTGGGCGTGATGCCTTTTATCACAGTAAAACTTCAATGCTGAATCTCAGGGGTGGTTTGGTGGGCCTACATGTTTTTATGAATGCGTAATCAAGCTCAAATTAGCTCTGATCTTTGTTTCCTGTGTGTGAAGGATATGATCTGATTCCTCACTTGCATAGTTCTGCTAAAGAGGATATACAGGGTAGAGCTGCCTGCTCTTGATCCCCCGGGACTTACACCCCCAATCCTGTTAAAGGGCAACTGGCTTGGCAGCTGCAGTCCTTCGATTGCAACAGGACTATATTAGCAGTAGGAAAGGAGATAATGACAGTCTACTATTACTGCTGCTCAAGAAAATCACTTGATGATAGATTTGTTCCTTGTTTTGGGTGCATAGTTATGTATATTTTAGAAACATATCAAAATAATCTTAAATCAGCCACCATAGTTTAAAATCTGGGTCAGCAGAAGACAGCTTGGGAGGGATAGCCTGCAAACAGACAGTATGCTATTAAAGTGGGAAAGAATTAAAATGACTGGTTGAAGGTCCAGCTAATGGTTTGTGTAAGTACAGCTTTCCAATTTGATTAAATACATTATTTGAATGGGATTGGGGAAGTATATGTGATAGCAATATGTGCTGGGAATTTCTCACCTTTCCAAGATAAACAGTGGATAAGTACTGTGATTGTATGACTTGCCAGTGGTTTTGCTTAGAACAGTTTAGACAGAGTGTCTTTTCCTCATGTCTGATATATGTAAGACAAGAATTGCAAAAAGGATAGGCCAGAATTATGTAAATATCTTATTTTTGTTCCACTGTCTAAATTGAAAATCAAGAGCAAATCTTTGAGTTGACCAAATTGACGCAAAAAAAAAAATGGGTGAGAAGAGAAGGTGGCGTTGTCACTTGACAATAAATTAAAAGCTCTGTTTATGCTTAACTTTGCACTTCTTTCAATTTAAGTGGTTTGGGTCCTTAGAAGTAAAAAAAAAAAAAAAATTATTAAATGTTTTTATTTTTTTATTTCAGAATGACATTTCATTCTAAAATTTGCTAAAATCTATTTTCAGAAGTCATCACAATTTTTCAGACACTTTAGATTAACTTGAAACTTTTTTTTTTTATGTTGAACAAGCAAGCAAGTTTTTGCCAGCCTCAAAAGCATGAGTAAAATCAAGCCTGGAAAAGTTTCCTGCAGCAGGACCTTTAAAGCACCTTGAACTTTCAAAAAATACCCAGTAGTTTCACTGTCTTCACTTGTGTTTAATGTTCCTCATGCTTCTCTCAGTGGATGAAGAGCTGCTGTTCTTTTGAGAAGCAGGTCTTTAAAGTCATTGTCTCACAGAAGTTAGCTTTCTTGTCTAAAACAATTACCTTCCCCCTTTCTTTATTTCAGCAGG